TGTTAAGCACCGGGATACTGGAGCGTTTGGGGAGGTTCACGGTCCCTCATTACCCACCCGGGTGATGACAAGGTGAACCAAGTGACACATACAGATGGAAATTTAGCATGAGTTTACTAAGTCACAAGTTATGATGTTCACCACAACTCCTACGTCACTACTCACTGGCACCATCCTACCCTGGCAAATGGTAAGTAATATAGACATGGAATAATACGTCACAGACGAACACATGTGAATCCCAGGGCCTCTCACCCTGGTGGATCCCAGGGCCTCTCACCCAGGTGGATCCCAGGGCCTCTCACTCTGGTGGATCCCAGGGCCTCTCACCCTGGTGGATCCCAGGGCCTCTCACCTTGGTGCATCCCAGGGCCTCTCACCCTGGTGGATCCCAGGGCCTCTCACTCTGGTGGATCCCAGGGCCTCTCACCCTGGTGGATCCCACGGCCACTCACCCTGGTGGATCCCACAGCCTCTCACCCTGGTGGATCCCAGGGCCTCTCACCCTGGTGGATCCCACGGCCACTCACCCTGGTGGATCCCACAGCCTCTCACCCTGGTGGATCCCAGGGCCTCTCACCCTGGTGGATCCCAGGGCCTCTCACCCTGGTGGATCCCAGGGCCTCTCACTCTGGTGGATCCCAGGGCCTCTCACCCTGGTGGATCCCAGGGCCTCTCACTCTGGTGGATCCCAGGGCCTCTCACCCTGGTGGATCCCAGGGCCTCTCACCCTGGTGGATCCCAGGGCCTCTTACCTTGGTGGATCCCAGGGCCTCTCACCCTGATGGATCCCAGGGCCTCTCACCTTGGTGGATCCCAGGGCCTCTCACCTTGGTGCATCCCAGGGCCTCTCACCCTGGTGGATCCCAGGGCCTCTCACCCTGGTGGATCCCACGGCCACTCACCCTGGTGGATCCCACAGCCTCTCACCCTGGTGGATCCCAGGGCCTCTCACCCTGGTGGATCCCAGGGCCTCTCACCCTGGTGGATCCCAGGGCCTCTCACCCTGGTGGATCCCAGGGCCTCTCACCCTGGTGGATCCCACGGCCTCTCACCCTGGTGGATCCCACGGCCTCTCACCCTGGTGGATCCCAGGGCCTCTCACCCTGGTGGATCCCACGGCCACTCACCCTGGTGGATCCCACGGCCTCTCACCCTGGTGGATCCCAGGGCCTCTCACCCTGGTGTATCTCAGGGCCTCTCACCCTGGTGGATCACTCTGTCTCCACTCTGGACCCTGGATGACCGGTCCGGCTCCCGTCCCTCAACTGAATTGAATTTTCAATTCAATTCAATTTCTTTATTATGCACCTCATACCCACGATGTGGGTGGTGGTGTAAAGGGTTACAGAGGCTTCATGGCACATTTATACACCCCCAAAACTGCCACACCTCATCTCAGGTGGTGAGAGGGGGATGGGGAGTGCTGTTGCCAACCTGCAAGTGGGAGGCTTGAATGGGTCGTCCGCCCTCCACGTGCGATACTCTAGGGAACTTTTCCACTAAAATTGTTTGACAACTGTCGTACACCTTTCATGGAGGGGGAAATTAATTATGGAAGGTTGAAGGAGGGAAGCCACATTTCCATCATGATGTTTGCACTACCAAAACAACTCAACTCTGCAGGTGGCTGACCTCTGACCTGGCAGAAGGGAAGGTTTCTGAGTGTTACAACTCTCTCTCCACGGAATTAAGGCATCAATCAGGTGAATGTCACTTAAGCCTGATTTTGTCTTATCCTAACTTGTCCATAATACCACAAACAAAATTAAAACTAAAAATATGTCAGTGTTCTAATTATAAGAACTAATCTAACCACATTAACACGACAAAAGTGTATCTTGTAGGTTCACTTCAAAAATTATAGTATACAAAAGTACACTGAAGTATTAATTAAAAATAATGTAAGTAATGATTGCATCATAAATGATCCTTCCCTGAGAATCATGTTATGAAACAAAGTAAACTATTAGTTAAAATACATATCCCGACTGCATGTGTGCTAATGGGGGAGAGGGGGGGTAATGGGGGGGAGAGGGGATGTTATGGGAGAGAGAGGGGGGGGGGGCAATGGAGGAGAGGGGACGTTATCATGGGGGAGACGGGGTGTCTCTTTTGGGAGGATGGGGTTGTCATGGGGAAGATGGGGTGTTAGGAGGAGAAAGGTGTGTGCTAATGGGGGAGAGGGGGGGGGGTAATGGGGGGGAGGGGGGATGTTATGGGAGAGAGAGGGGGGGGGGGCAATGGAGGAGAGGGGACGTTATCATGGGGGAGACGGGGTGTCTCTTTTGGGAGGATGGGGTTGTCATGGGGAAGATGGGGTGTTAAGGAGGAGAAAGGTGTGTGTCAATAGGGAGAGGGGGGGGGTGTCAGGTGGGGAGAGGAGGGGTGTTATGGGGCAGAGGGGGGGGGGTGTCATGTGGGGAGAGGAGGGGTGTTATGGGGGAGAGGAGGGGGGGGGGGTGTCATGAGGGAGGCGGGGCTGGGATCACTGTCACGTGAACAGTCATCATCACCGGGATAAACTGTGGTCAACACACAATAGTATGCTACGTCACGCTCGCCTCCCCCCCCATCTGCATGGTCACGTGTCTTCCCTCCTCCTCTCCTTCCTTCTCCTCCTCCTCCTCCTCTCCTTCCTTCTCCTCCTCCTCCTCCTCCCAGTGGGTATTACCAGGTCAAGTCACTCCTGCTTCCTCAATATCTGCCATTCTCATTTCCCAATTCCTTTGCCTCCTCACCTGTTCTCTCTGGTACCAGTTGCAATCGTCTTCACCAGGACCTTGATTCACGAAGCTCCATGTATTTCTTCGTAAGAAGGTGTGCTACAAAGGTTCTTAACTATTGGCTAAGAACGTTCCTACATGCGATTCAGAAGGGGATTCTCGCGAAGACTTTAGCAACTTCACTTAAGTCTCACTAGATGTCACCAGGGATTTGCGTTTGGCCAATCAGAGAGAAGGTAACATTTTTCATCTTACAACTGTAGCCAATCACGACGCTGGCATATCGGAGCTCATCTGTGGTCACTTGCCACTTATTTACATCGAATTTTCTTATTAAATTAGTATATTTCGAAGTAAAATTATGTTTTTCAACTTCTACAGTCAGCACCGACATTGTGTAAACAAATATGTTGCATTTGTTGTTTACCTACATAATTCTAAGAGAAAGTGTGTGACTTTCCTGTCGCTCCCAAGATTGACAAATGCTACTTATTTATGTATATATTTACCTAAATTTACCCAAAGGCCATTAACTATCTGGTGGCCTCGACGAGGACAGAAAGCCGGCGGCTTGTTAAAGGTCCTACCAATTATCCTAATGATATTTTCAAGCTGGATTTTGGCATTTACGGCTTCAGCGGGTAGGCGGTTCCATGAGTTTACAACTCTCTTGGTGGAAAAAACATCTGTTTTCAGTCCTACTTGAGAGGACATACTCTCCAACACCATATCTGTGATTGCCCTGTTATCAGTAACTTCATACCAAATGGTATGAGGTACTTTGAGCTCTGTAATTACTTCATACACTCAGGAATATTGGAAGATATTCTTGTGCTGCATCCAGATTTTGCCAGTGGAGGCTAATAGATCAGCCTTAAGCATTTTGATCTCTCCTAATTCCATGTATGACTGGCCATCCTGTGAGGTGAGGATGTTGGATGAGCTTGTAGCTGGTTTTTGATCTAGACTGTGTGGTCCTTCATGCAGAATAGGGAAGCAGCACATTGCTGTGTATACCTAAACATGTTAAAAAGAAAATACATTGTTTGAGAGGAGTGTTGTAGAAACTGGTAAGAGTAATTATAATATAATGTTTCCATGATTCAGTGTTTACCTCTTGTGAAAATCGTGAAGTTGTTGTTTAGTCAGAGTTGATTTGTTTCTTGTATAGAGGCTGGTATTTTCTCCCCATGTATTCCATGTATGACTAACCGTCCTGTGAGATGGGAGTATTAGATAAACTTAAAGCTAGTTGTTGGTCTACACTGTGTAATCTTCCATATAGAATATGGCAGCAGCACATTGCTGTGTATACCTAAGCTTCTTAATAAAAAATTAAGTAATAAAGGTTTTTAAATTATAGTTTGTATTATTACCAGTATTATCTTTATTCAATTATGTTAACCATGGATCATTAAGATCTCATATTGATGTGTAATGTAATAGCGATATTTCTTTTGTATCTTTCATTAAATTGTGCATTATGTGTAATTTTTCACTTTTCTGGACATACAATACAAAAGATAGGATAAGAAAAACTGAAATATTTGTTTCATTGTAAATATTATTTAAATAATTGCATCAATACTTTTACAGCTGAGAGGATTTGTTTTACTCAGAGGTGCACTGATCTATTAATTAACAAGGTTATTGTTACACAGCCCAAGTGTGTAGGAGAGGAAGAGGTGTTGGAGCCACATATGTTGAGTGCTACATGTACACAGCCCAAGTGTGTAGGAGAGGAAGAGGTGTTGGAGCCACATATGTTGAGTGCTACATGTACACAGCCCAAGTGTGTAGGAGAGGAAGAGGTGTTGGAGCCACATATGTTGAGTGCTACATGTACACAGCCCAAGTGTGTAGGAGAGGAAGAGGTGTTGGAGCCACATATGTTGAGTGCTACATGTACACAGCCCAAGTGTGTAGGAGAGGAAGAGGTGTTGGAGCCACATATGTTGAGTGCTACATGTACACAGCCCAAGTGTGTAGGAGAGGAAGAGGTGTTGGAGCCACATATGTTGAGTGCTACATGTACACAGCCCAAGGAGAGGAAGAGGTGTTGGAGCCACATATGTTGAGTGCTACATGTACACAGCCCAAGTGTGTAGGAGAGGAAGAGGTGTTGGAGCCACATATGTTGAGTGCCACATGTACACAGCCCAAGTGTGTAGGAGAGGAAGAGGTGTTGGAGCCACATATGTTGAGTGCCACATGTACACAGCCCAAGTGTGTAGGAGAGGAAGAGGTGTTGGAGCCACATATGTTGAGTGCTACATGTACACAGCCCAAGTGTGTAGGAGAGGAAGAGGTGTTGGAGAGGTGTTGGAGCCACATATGTTGAGTGCTACATGTACACAGCCCAAGTGTGTAGGAGAGGAAGAGGTGTTGGAGCCACATATGTTGAGTGCTACATGTACACAGCCCAAGTGTGTAGGAGAGGAACATATGAGGCTACATGTTGGAGCCACATATGTTGAGTGTACATGTACACAGCCCAAGTGTGTAGGAGAGGAAGAGGTGTTGGAGCCACATATGTTGAGTGCTACATGTACACAGCCCAAGTGTGTAGGAGAGGAAGAGGTGTTGGAGCCACATATGTTGAGTGCTACATGTACACAGCCAAAGTGTGTAGGGGAGGAAGAGGTGTTGGAGCCACATATGTTGAGTGCTACATGTACACAGCCCAAGTGTGTAGGAGAGGAAGAGGTGTTGGAGCCACATATGTTGAGTGCCACATGTAGAGGAATCAGCCAAGCGATGAACCTCATCACATATTGATGAATATAAACCATCGTTGTTAGGTCATGACTAATTATAGGAAGAATGATCTTCAGTGTGTAGTGTGCATACAGGTAACACAACAGTACTCTAGAACACGCAACACAATAAGTGTGGAATAAAAATGCAGCAAAGATGATGTTAGGTAAGGGTTTGTCCTAGTTAAAATTTATTAATAATTAAAAAAACCTTTGTAATTAATATAATATGAAGGTGTATAAATTGTCAGGTGTCTGACTGGGGCGTTTCGGACACAAGACCATTTGACAAAGCTCATTTTCTGTTTACTAAAATTGTATTAATATATTGTTATGCTAGGCTGCAGTAGCTTAGGTTTGGCTGTAGTGGCCTTAGTTGGGTTAGGTTAGGAAGGGTTGGACTAGGTTGGGCTAGGTTGGGTTGGGTTGGGTAACGTTAGGTTAGGGTAGGCTGGGAAGAGTTGGGTTGGGCTAGGTTGGGTTGGGTTGGGTAACGTTAGGTTAGGTTAGGCTGGGAAGAGTTGGGTTGGGCTAGGTTGGGTTGGGTTGGGTAACGTTAGGTTAGGTTAGTCTGGGAAGAGTTGGGTTGGGCTAGGTTGGGTTGGGTTGGGTAACGTTAGGTTAGGTTAGTCTGGGAAGAGTTGGGTTGGGCTAGGTTGGGTTGGGTAACGTTAGGTTAGGTTAGGCTGGGAAGAGTTGGGTTGGGCTAGGTCGGGTTGGGTTGGGTTGGGTAACGTTAGGTTAGGTTAGGCTGGGAAGAGTTGGGTTGGGCTAGGTCGGGTTGGGTTGGGTTGGGTAACGTTAGGTTAGGTTAGGCTGGGAAGAGTTGGGTTGGGCTAGGTCGGGTTGGGTTGGGTTGGGTAACGTTAGGTTAGGTTAGGCTGGGAAGAGTTGGGTTGGGCTAGGTCGGGTTGGGTTGGGATGGGTAACGTTAGGTTAGGTTAGGCTGGGAAGAGTTGGGTTGGGCTAGGTCGGGTTGGGTTGGGTTGGGTAACGTTAGGTTAGGTTAGGCTGGGAAGAGTTGGGTTGGGCTAGGTCGGGTTGGGTTGGGTTGGGTAACGTTAGGTTAGGTTAGGCTGGGAAGAGTTGGGTTGGGCTAGGTCGGGTAGGGTTGGGTTGGGTAACGTTAGGTTAGGTTAGGCTGGGAAGAGTTGGGTTGGGCTAGGTCGGGTTGGGTTGGGTTGGGTAACGTTAGGTTAGGTTAGGCTGGGAAGAGTTGGGTTGGGCTAGGTCGGGTTGGGTTGGGTTGGGTAACGTTAGGTTAGGTTAGGCTGGGAAGAGTTGGGTTGGGCTAGGTCGGGTTGGGTTGGGTTGGGTAACGTTAGGTTAGGTTAGGCTGGGAAGAGTTGGGTTGGGCTAGGTTGGGCTAGGTCGGGTTGGGTTGGGTTGGGTAACGTTAGGTTAGGTTAGGCTGGGAAGAGTTGGGTTGGGCTAGGTCGGGTTGGGTTGGGTTGGGTAACGTTAGGTTAGGTTAGGCTGGGAAGAGTTGGGTTGGGCTAGGTCGGGTTGGGTTGGGTTGGGTAACGTTAGGTTAGGTTAGGCTGGGAAGAGTTGGGTTGGGCTAGGTCGGGTTGGGTTGGGTTGGGTAACGTTAGGTTAGGTTAGGCTGGGAAGAGTTGGGTTGGGCTAGGTCGGGTTGGGTTGGGTTGGGTAACGTTAGGTTAGGTTAGGCTGGGAAGAGTTGGGTTGGGCTAGGTCGGGTTGGGTTGGGTTGGGTAACGTTAGGTTAGGTTAGGCTGGGAAGAGTTGGGTTGGGCTAGGTCGGGTTGGGTTGGGTTGGGTAACGTTAGGTTAGGTTAGGCTGGGAAGAGTTGGGTTGGGCTAGGTCGGGTTGGGTTGGGTTGGGTAACGTTAGGTTAGGTTAGGCTGGGAAGAGTTGGGTTGGGCTAGGTCGGGTTGGGTTGGGTTGGGTAACGTTAGGTTAGGTTAGGCTGGGAAGAGTTGGGTTGGGCTAGGTCGGGTTGGGTAACGTTAGGTTAGGTTAGGCTGGGAAGAGTTGGGTTGGGCTAGGTCGGGTTGGGTTGGGTTGGGTAACGTTAGGTTAGGTTAGGCTGGGAAGAGTTGGGTTGGGCTAGGTCGGGTTGGGTTGGGTTGGGTAAGGTTAGGTTAGGTTAGGCTGGGAAGAGTTGGGTTGGGCTAGGTCGGGTTGGGTTGGGTTGGGTAACGTTAGATTAGGTTAGGCTGGGAAGAGTTGGGTTGGGCTAGGTCGGGTTGGGTTGGGTTGGGTAACGTTAGGTTAGGTTAGGCTGGGAAGAGTTGGGTTGGGCTAGGTCGGGTAACGTTAGGTTAGGTTAGGCTGGGAAGAGTTGGGTTGGGCTAGGTCGGGTTGGGTTGGGTTGGGTAACGTTAGGTTAGGTTAGGCTGGGAAGAGTTGGGTTGGGCTAGGTCGGGTTGGGTTGGGTTGGGTAACGTTAGGTTAGGTTAGGCTGGGAAGAGTTGGGTTGGGCTAGGTCGGGTTGGGTTGGGTAACGTTAGGTTAGGTTAGGCTGGGAAGAGTTGGGTTGGGCTAGGTCGGGTTGGGTTGGGTTGGGTAACGTTAGGTTAGGTTAGGCTGGGAAGAGTTGGGTTGGGCTAGGTCGGGTTGGGTTGGGTTGGGTAACGTTAGGTTAGGTTAGGCTGGGAAGAGTTGGGTTGGGCTAGGTCGGGTTGGGTTGGGTTGGGTAACGTTAGGTTAGGTTGGGCTGGGAAGAGTTGGGTTGGGCTAGGTCGGGTTGGGTTGGGTTGGGTAACGTTAGGTTAGGTTAGGCTGGGAAGAGTTGGGTTGGGCTAGGTCGGGTTAGGTTGGGTTGGGTAACGTTAGGTTAGGTTAGGCTGGGAAGAGTTGGGTTGGGCTAGGTCGGGTTGGGTTGGGTTGGGTAACGTTAGGTTAGGTTAGGCTGGGAAGAGTTGGGTTGGGCTAGGTCGGGTTGGGTTGGGTTGGGTAACGTTAGGTTAGGTTAGGCTGGGAAGAGTTGGGTTGGGCTAGGTCGGGTTGGGTTGGGTTGGGTAACGTTAGGTTAGGTTAGGCTGGGAAGAGTTGGGTTGGGCTAGGTCGGGTTAGGTTGGGTTGGGTAACGTTAGGTTAGGTTAGGCTGGGAAGAGTTGGGTTGGGCTAGGTCGGGTTGGGTTGGGTTGGGTAACGTTAGGTTAGGTTAGGCTGGGAAGAGTTGGGTTGGGCTAGGTCGGGTTGGGTTGGGTTGGGTAACGTTAGGTTAGGTTAGGCTGGGAAGAGTTGGGTTGGGCTAGGTCGGGTTGGGTTGGGTTGGGTAACGTTAGGTTAGGTTAGGCTGGGAAGAGTTGGGTTGGGCTAGGTCGGGTTGGGTTGGGTTGGGTAACGTTAGGTTAGGTTAGGCTGGGAAGAGTTGGGTTGGGCTAGGTCGGGTTGGGTTGGGTTGGGTAACGTTAGGTTAGGTTAGGCTGGGAAGAGTTGGGTTGGGCTAGGTCGGGTTGGGTTGGGTTGGGTAACGTTAGGTTAGGTTAGGCTGGGAAGAGTTGGGTTGGGCTAGGTCGGGTTGGGTTGGGTTGGGTAACGTTAGGTTAGGTTAGGCTGGGAAGAGTTGGGTTGGGCTAGGTCGGGTTAGGTTGGGTTGGGTAACGTTAGGTTAGGTTAGGCTGGGAAGAGTTGGGTTGGGCTAGGTCGGGTTGGGTTGGGTTGGGTAACGTTAGGTTAGGTTAGGCTGGGAAGAGTTGGGTTGGGCTAGGTCGGGTTGGGTTGGGTTGGGTAACGTTAGGTTAGGTTAGGCTGGGAAGAGTTGGGTTGGGCTAGGTCGGGTTGGGTTGGGTTGGGTAACGTTAGGTTAGGTTAGGCTGGGAAGAGTTGGGTTGGGCTAGGTCGGGTTGGGTTGGGTTGGGTAACGTTAGGTTAGGTTAGGCTGGGAAGAGTTGGGTTGGGCTAGGTCGGGTTGGGTTGGGTTGGGTAACGTTAGGTTAGGTTAGGCTGGGAAGAGTTGGGTTGGGCTAGGTCGGGTTGGGTTGGGTTGGGTAACGTTAGGTTAGGTTAGGCTGGGAAGAGTTGGGTTGGGCTAGGTCGGGTTGGGTTGGGTAACGTTAGGTTAGTTAGGCTGGGAAGAGTTGGGTTGGGCGGTTTGGGTTGGGTTGGGTAACGGTTAGGTTAGGCTGGGAAGAGTTGGGTTGGGCTAGGTCGGGTTGGGTTGGGTTGGGTAACGTTAGGTTAGGTTAGGCTGGGAAGAGTTGGGTTGGGCTAGGTCGGGTTGGGTTGGGTTGGGTAACGTTAGGTTAGGTTAGGCTGGGAAGAGTTGGGTTGGGCTAGGTCGGGTTGGGTTGGGTTGGGTAACGTTAGGTTAGGTTAGGCTGGGAAGAGTTGGGTTGGGCTAGGTCGGGTTGGGTTGGGTTGGGTTTAGGTTAGGTTAGGCTGGGAAGAGTTGGGTTGGGCTAGGTTAGGCTGGGAAGAGTTGGGTTGGGTTAGGTTAGGCTGGGAAGAGTTGGGTTGGGCTAGGTTAGGCTGGGAAGAGTTGGGTTGGGCTAGGTTAGGCTGGGAAGAGTTGGGTTGGGCTAGGTTAGGCTGGGAAGAGTTGGGTTGGGCTAGGTTAGGCTGGGAAGAGTTGGGTTGGGCTAGGTTAGGCTGGGAAGAGTTGGGTTGGGCTAGGTTAGGCTGGGAAGAGTTGGGTTGGGCTAGGTTAGGCTGGGAAGAGTTGGGTTGGGCTAGGTTAGGCTGGGAAGAGTTGGGTTGGGCTAGGTTAGGCTGGGAAGAGTTGGGTTGGGCTAGGTTTGGCTGGGAAGAGTTGGGTTGGGCTAGGTTAGGCTGGGAAGAGTTGGGTTGGGCTAGGTTAGGCTGGGAAGAGTTGGGTTGGGCTAGGTTAGGCTGGGAAGAGTTGGGTTGGGCTAGGTTAGGCTGGGAAGAGTTGGGTTGGGCTAGGTTAGGCTGGGAAGAGTTGGGTTGGGCTAGGTTAGGCTGGGAAGAGTTGGGTTGGGCTAGGTTAGGCTGGGAAGAGTTGGGTTGGGCTAGGTTAGGCTGGGAAGAGTTGGGTTGGGCTAGGTTAGGCTGGGAAGAGTTGGGTTGGGCTAGGTTAGGCTGGGAAGAGT